ATGTTAAAAAATATTTTCTATCATATTTAAACAATTAATAAGTAAACTTAACTACGAATTTTTTTTAAAATGTTTAGTTGATTATGTGATCTAATACATTTCTATGGTAATTGAAATATTAACAAATAGATATGATGTATTTAACCGAGTTCACACACGTTTATTGTTAATACAAATTTGATTAAACCAATGGTCCAGTATACAACATACTATCTCTTCATGAACTGTATATTAATAAAAAAACACCATATATATATATATATATATATATATATATATATATATATATATATATATATATATATATATATATATATATATATATATATATATATATATGCATTTGTTTATGAATAGGGTTAGTTTACAATTCATGGTGTTCACATAGTCAATAGTTCTTAGGAGTCTTTTTTCACACAGTTAATGATACATAGACAAATATTCTAGATATTGAAAGAATCGATATATGTTTTATATTGAAAATTATATATTACTATGTAAATGAAGTGTATCATGATTTGGACGTCTGAAGCGTATTTTTCTTTTTAAGAGTATTTAAATAACATATTATGAATACTTGTTCAGTAACAGAATTGAATTGTTTACAAAATCATCCGATTTAAAGTAAAATATATTTTGAAAACAAGCAATTATTAAAGAATCCAGAGAAATTTATTTTCATTAGGACCATCCCATCCTTATCTAACAACTGACAATTATAATATTGAATAGTATCAGAAGCGATTTTGTGGAGATTGTAGTAATTTAAACAGTTTGAGATCATGAGTCAATTGAAGCTAGACCACCATGGGAAACCTGGAAGCACTGAACGGCCGTTTCGTTCCATTGTGGGACTCAGTAGTGAGCATCCACGATCCCGCACCCCTCGAGATTCGAGCCCAGCACCTATCGGTTTCGCGTCAAGCGCCTAACCATTAGACCACTGAGCCGGCATCCAACGGTGTTAATGTCTAACTTCAACTAATCCACGAAATTGAGCGACACATCCACCATTGTCATCAGGACTGATAGGTCCTGGATTCGAATCTCGCGGGTGCGGGGTCGTGGATGCGCACTGCTGAGTCCCACGATAGGACAAAACGGCCGTCCAGTGCTTCCAGGTTTTTCATGGTGGTCTAGCTTTAATTGACTCATGCTCTCAAACTGTTTATAATGTTGAAATATTTTTGAACTTGAACTAAACAATTTAAATTATGTTAGGTTGCTGTTTTTAGATCGATATATCGGTAATGACTTAGTCACTTTTTAATTCTGTAATATGCATAACTTTTAAATAACTTACGTTCAATAAGTTACGCACTCTGTGAATTACAATGACAGCTTTTTTATTCAACTAACTGTTGTTGAGCAATCTACTGAATTTATCAACCAACTATATGCATTAAACCAGTGGATGAATGTATTTTAACCAAATTAGATAAGTAGGATTTTCTAAAGTTTGAAAAATGTTTTACGAAAGATCCATAGTGTGTAAAACCGTGGTTAATCATGACTTTTACGAAGTTCAATAGCTGTACTATTTCTTGTACTTTTGTTTATTTTTTTGTTTCATTTAGTGGGAGAATACTGCATGTAGGAGTGTGATTTCCATTAGTGATTTCACTTTAAGCCTTAACTTCCACAACATTTATGTTTTTCATTAGTTGATTGAGCCACACTTCATCGTATTGGTAACAGGCATGAATAAGTTCAAACACTTGAAAGGAAAACTTTAATGGAGATTACACCATTTACTTATTAAATGAACTGAAGGATAGACAAAAATGCTGAACACAACACTGAAAATTGAAAATGGTGATGACAACTTCAGCGTATATCTGGTCTTTAGGGGAGTAGTAAAAACAACTAAATAGCTCAGATCTTATATTTATTTAACCGGTTTTACAAAATTCTGGAATGAATGAGGTGGCTGGATTGATCTAGAGCTGCAACTGGATTTTAAAAAGCCCTTTTTTAGTATACAAATAAAATGTTTTTTCCTATTTTTGCACATGCATATAGTTCCACCCATATTTCCAGTTACCCTGTAAAACAACGTAAATGATTTTCTTCCCCGTTTACTATCCACATTAAGTGACCATAAAACAATGGCACACTATCAGAAGCTCCAAACAATTTCAAATATTTGCATTAAAAACTATGATGGAAGTATATGGATTCATTTCAACATCTCAAAAATCAAAAGTAATCAACGAATAATCTACTGCCTTAATTAAATATGAATGACTTGACGTTATACTTGATTATCTGGAACGTTTCTAGACTAAAAACGAAAAAAATAAAATAAAACAATTTGATCTCTTAGTCGCCAACTACTTTCTTATTTGAACACTTTCGGTACCCTACTGGTGTCCTTATAGTATTGGGATGATTGTCTTCGTGAAAATTAAATTAAGTTTTTTACGGACTGACATCAGTTGGAAAACTGGGTAGCTTTTTGATACAATTTTTCAGCTAATTAGTATTCTCTCGTCTGTCTTAAATTATGCACATGTAGCTGCTAGATTGGTTAGTCTGTCTGAAAATTTCCCTCATTAGCTATGACGACTTCACAAATTTCTTATAAATTTACTATAGAAACCTTACTGAACAAAAGCACCAGCGTTTTCGAAAAAGTTGAAGTGAATACATTCATGTTACTAGGCATTTAGTACGCTTTATGTTATTCTGACTCTTTCGATCATGTTGTAATGTAGCCAGTATTTTAAGTGATACTCCTCGAATGAACGGTTGATTATGAAATCGAAATAATGGAGGTGATTTTTACTGTTGTAATAGCTGATGTAGCCCAGGACTACAACGAGCGCTTCGAAATTACGCTAACAGGATCAACAAAGTGTCCTTCTAAACAAAGAGAGGAGGGGTTATAACGAATGTCACCCAGTGCTACGCTGTCAACAATGACAGCAGCGATTATAGCGATCAGTTTCATGGGGCAGTAATCGATTGTCAAGAAACGCTCAAGAACAGACCTAACCATCCTGATGTGAGACTTACCCTGGGTAAGATTCAAGATAGGAAAAATAAGAAAACGGTTTGCAACAACACTCAAATAAAAGCAGAGAAAGTCAGGATACACGCCGAACGTAAAAGTGGAAACAAAAGATTGGAGAAAAGCATTACAGATGACAAATGGAAATATGTGGAATACCTAGAAAAGGCTGCAGAATAAGCTGTAAGGGAAAAAATATGACAGACTTATATAATACAAGAAACTAGCATAGAAAAAGAGATGATAGCAAGAAAAGTTAAAATTCGATTTACCCATTATGAGTTTCGTTCAACATTACTTCCGTTTTAATTCAATCTGATGATTGTTCAGTGTAGTATTTGTTTTGTTTTCCCGTATGATATTTTATGCTGTATAGGATACGATATTCTTGTATTCAACTGACATGAACTACGCTCAGCATGTGATTTGTTATATGGGTGTAGGAATCATTATATCAATGAGTGTATTTTTTATTAGTCGTCGTGTTTTGGGTTTAATAAATCATCACTTATAACCAGTCTTTGTGTTCTTACTTTCAAGTCCCAGAAATTGCAGAGGTCCCTCGTTTCGATTATAAGTGCTAAGAGTTTCCGACACAACAATCAGCGACAACCAGATATAACAAGTAGCGTTCAATCGACAAAACATATCAGAAACAAATCAGTCAAAAACAAAGAAGGCACATCAGTTAGCGAGGTTCAACAGCAGTGTAACAGATAGATAGAACACTTTGAAGAACTCTTTAATTGACCAGTCCCACTGAACCCACCAGATATCCAAGCAGTATACACAGCCCTATCTGTAGATGTAACAGCACCGAAAATGGAGAAAATCAGGAAAACCACTAGACAAATCAACTATGGGAAAGGAGCAGGATCAGACAGCATGCCAGTTGAAGCACTGTAGTCAGATATAGAGGTAACTATCATGATGAGTCACGTTCTCTTCAGAAAGATTTGGAGGGGAGAACAAGTATCGGCAGACAGGAAATAAGGGTACCTCATCGAGACCACAGGAGGTCTTAGTAAGTATAAAATACAGAGACATCAAACTACTGTAAGTGCCAGGCAAAGTTTTAACAGTGTCGCTTGACTTAATGAAATATTCAGTAGACGCCCGATCTCAAGATCAAGAAACTCGCAGTGACCGAATCGCGAAACTACAATCAGTTGAACGGACTTATTTTATCTTATTCAAACATAAATATCGGTACAAAGAGGCATCGAATACATAGGCGTCGCATCCGATTTGTGCGAGGGTTTGGATACTTCCCGGATGCCCAAACCGGAGGTGGTTTTCTTAGGGGACCACTCCGCTAGCCTTTAACCTAAAGGTCTAATCCACAAGGTAGTGTAGCAACATCAGGAGATGCAGTCCTGTGGTAGTCGGCGACCATCAATAGGTTCACACGCCATTAGTTTCCTCAGGATTCTGGAGCCCATGTGCACCATTGGTTTAAAATCACGGTTTTCCAACTCTCTTAGGTTGACTCTCCGTGTCCGTCAACCCGATCAAAACGTCGAACATTCGCCTTTCATTCTCTCAGTTTCGTAAACAATACCCCTGCCTCGAGAAGGCAGTGAATAAGACTTCACTGTCAGAAATTGAACACACTGAAGCAATGTGTAACTCATATTACTCACTTCTTTATGTACATTTAAGTTCAGTTTAGCATATTTTCCTTTGACTTATTTTTTCTACTGATTCTGTTATGAATAAAATGTATCAGCATGAACCATATGCAAAATTTTTCCTGGTTAAATTAGTTCATAATTTGCTTGTATTCATCATTCTTTTTTAATGATAACTTAATTGTTTACTGCCGTTTTAAATAAAAAAAGATTACCCACTAGTGAGACTATTTTATCAAAAATATCAGGTAAACAGTGTTTAGGAATTGGTAATTAAGAATATTTGCATTACATCCACATATAATACTGAAAATATTAATTTATGTAAAGTAAAACCATGTATACAATATATAATTTCATAGTAACATTTTATGGTTTTTCAACAAATTAATTAATTCTTCCACAGATGTACAGAAATAATCGGATATAGTTTTAACTTTAGGACGAATAACATTGACACCGAAACCGATAAATACAGAAGCGGGTGGACAAGCATTTGCATCTGTCATTCCATCACCTATCATCATAACTGGAGTATGCAATTTATTCAGTAATTCATTAACGATTAAGGCTTTACCATCGGAACGACTAGTTGGTGCACTATGATCCAATCCAACGAATGTGCCTATGGAAAATTTTAAAAAAGCTTACCAAACAATGGGAACATAAAGAAAAACTTACCATAATATTCAGAGTACTAAAAGCATTGCTCTATTCAAAATATGGTCTAAAGATACTACTGATATGAATAAATGCATCACGATGATAGGGTGTACAAAGAAACATCAACAAAGCAGGTCTTGTTGTTAAATGCGTCATAGCTTTCTCAATTTCGTCATGAGTTGTACGGATGATGTGAATTGCTTATTGCAAAAACAGTCAAACCTTAGGCAACTGGAGAGTAGTTGTACATCAGTTGAAATATTCTTCGAAGTTTTTTAACCTACATTAAATATTACAGACAAATTCCCTATTAGGTTATCGAATATTTTCCTAAGGAACAAAAATAACCTTGGACAACTGATAGTTGTAACAAAATGACGACCTCATTATAACGGATGTTTGGAAGGAGTAATCACAGATAAATTATAGTGAACATGAAATCAGTTTGCAGTGATTTAGTACTTATTAGTTAGTTTCATAACAGGAATTCTTCAATACAAAGCAAATCATTACTTGATTAACGAACATTACCCACACTCAGTTATTTTAAATATTTTTCAGTAAGTGAGTGACGCGCAACTTGGATTGGTTCAAGTTGACATACTACAGTAACACAGCGATATATAATTGTCAAGACAAATCCTAGAATAGTAGAAGTGATAAAGTAACAGTAGTAGTAAAAAATAAACGAAAAAGTATAAGATTTTAGGATTTAGGAACCACAGAAAGATAGAGAGTGAATCCACCTGAGCTATTGCAACCGATTTTGAGTCATTCCCCTCAAAGCCTCTAGTTATGTGAATCCCAACCAGGTGGTCTACAACGGTCCAGATGTCAGTGACTTTATGGACTGGTGCCACGTCTTATTTGATACCCGTTAGTCTTCTTCCAACATACTCCTACACCATACAATTCCCCACATCAAAGTAGTCGGTGGTTGGATAACACATGTCCTAATCACCTCAACTAATGAATATTCACTACATCGTCAACTGATCTGCCATATCTACGTAGTACCATATACCTCTTTTCGGCACCGCCCACTCAGTCGCCCAAAAATACACAAGCGATGCTCCAAACACACTTATGATTGGATGGTAATAGCCTACGAATATCCCCTAATCTCAGTGGTTATGTTTCACACCCATGAAGTGAAACGGAGCAAACTGGTGAACAGTAAACTCGTCATTTGGTTGAAAGATGGATATTTCGCCTACCCCACAAATGACACAAGCTGGCAAAGTCAACCAACCTTTCAGTATTCGTGCCAAGATTTCGTCATACAGCAGCCTATCAGGGATGGTGAGATCTCCAAAATAAGTGAAGTGGTCGACGCACTTAACTACATCACTCCCTATCATTACTTCAGGAGTTGACACAGACCAATCTTGAAACAGCATTTTGGATTTGAAGGGGAACAATTGCTTTGCTGCCTAAGGTGGTCAAAAGACTGCATCTTATCAGGATCTTCATCAACACAGGACCAAGTCACCTGCGTATTCTAAGTCAACAAGTAAATCTCCTGGTGGAACACGAATCCCTCCAAAGTCAGATGATGAAAGTGACATATCTATGATAAAGTCAAATAAAAATGGGGAAAGCGCACAACCTTGCACAACACCACTTGAAGACAGTCCCCATCAGTAGTGTTCGGGTAGAGAGACTGTACAAGGTTGATGTACTTCCTTGGTTTGTCTTCCAATGACAGACGCACAGAACTTATCAATCAAGAGTCTAACGCCACCTTACGCGCCACACAGTAGCAATGAGGTTATGAAGAGATAGAGAATTTAAAATGCGTATATTAAAAGAAGAACAATAACGAACAGATATCAGTGTATGAGAGTGAAATAATAATAATGATAATAACAACCAGGTCTGTTGTGAGATATCAGCTCACTGAAGACAATGGTATATGGTGGCGCAACTTCGTGGATTGGTTGAAGTTAGACATTAACACCGTTGGATGTCGGCTCAGTGGTCTAATGGTTAAGTGCTCGCGCGCGAAGCCAGTAGGTCCTGGGTTCGAGCCCCGCGTGGTGCGGGATCGTGGATGCGCGTTGCTGAGGAGTCCCATACTAGGACGAAACGGCCGTCCAGTGCTTCCAGGTTTTCAATGGTGGTCTAGCTTCAACTGACTCATGATTTCAATCTGTGGAAATTTCTAAAAATCTCCACAAACCCCTTCTGATAATAATAATAATAGTTCAGTTAGCAAAAATATAACCAGAAAGAATTCTTTCAATTAGAGAAGTTACGTTTATTTTCTATGGAGTAAAAGAAAGTTACAACAGGATCGCCACTGGATCCTATTTTGAGCCATGTTTGATAATGTTTCAAGCCACTGTGTTGCATCATCTCTAGGACCCCAACCAGGGAGTCATGGAGGACCAACAGAAGCCAGTCCTGTACAGCTTTCTTTCATATCACGACACCATGTCATAAATTGATGCATGATGTGAACTTATCCCCCGATAGTTGTTGCAGAAACGTGAACCCTTTTTAAAAACAGTAATAACTATTGACTCGTTTCATGACGGAACACTATTTATCAGACCTTTGTAAATAACTCAATCAGTTCCATAACCAGAAATTCACTACCATCTTTAAAAAAGGTCGAAAGTAAGTCATCTGGGCCCGGTGATTTGTAATGCTTCAAGAGTTGGAGTTCCTCGCGGACTTCTGTCTTATTTGGTCGATCAGTCATCACAGGCCATGGAGGGCAGGACAGTCTGACCGATGTTGCCGGGGCAGCAGACCAGTTGAACTGCCCCTCCTCCGAGACGTCGGTAGATGTTAGTGATTGACATCCCGTCATCTTGTTTCGCTCACATCAGACTTCTTGCTGCCAGTAAATCAGATGAGTCAAAAGAGCTTCCGGCAGTTACCACATGCAGGTGCTGCTTCCAACTCATTGGCATGCTCCGACCACCAGGCTTCTCGGTTCTGAAACAAGCCTTGTCAAATTTCAATTCGTAACAGTCTTCGCTTGGGGTTAAACTCTAGGTCATCCGGAGTAGACCGACAGGCTTCAATGAGTTGTAAGGAGCCCAAAGAAACCCCGTGCTTATAAGCGGGACTTTTCGAAGAGCTGCAAACGACTTTACTCGCCATTTTCATGGTATCATGTAATTGCAACAAATGTTTATCTATACTTTTCGGTGGGTTGGTAGCTAGCCTTGAACCTAGCTTGGTTCGATATTTAGTTACAACTGAAGTTTCTTAAACATTAAAGAAGAGTAAAAACAGAAGAATACACTGGTATCTGGATCGACAATTATGGTCAGCCACCTATGTTAACATTTTAATCCTGAGTTACTCAATTTCAAGGTCCTAGTGAGGCATTATGCACTACCAGACGCTAGTTTTATATAACTGCTGCTACTACCGGTTCGGTTATACCGGAGTAGCTGAAGCAACGTTCAAACTTGTGATTGCATCGCGCAATCGTAAATTCATTTATAAAGATACCATATGTGTGAATTAGTAGCGTTTTCTTCCTTATTACTTATTTTAAGTTGCTTCTACCTCAAAGAAACATTACAGATATTTATAATGAGGTCAATAATTTTATGAATAAATCCTGGGTGGCTTCTCAGTTACTCATATATATAATGCTCGACCGTAGTTTCGACTTGTACGAGAACAACAACATTGTTGCTTTGTAGAAGAGTCTGACCATTTTGAGATTAACCTTGAGTTGCAGAGAAGCGATGCTAGTTGGTGCCCACGAGAAACAGTTTGTGATCTGTACAAAACTCCTAAAGGCGATTCGTTTTATCTAAGCTGAGACTGATGAGCTCCCTTGTGACACCCAGTCAGTTCCTTTATACGCACGAACTGGACACTCAAAATTCAAGTTTGTATCAAAACACTTTCGAAAGCTCGTTATCGAGATTGTCTAACTAATGGTTTGATTCACCCTTAAGATGGTGGAGAAGATTTGTAGCTCATGTGGACGATTTTGATGGAGTTTTGTTCTCTGAGCTGGATGGATTGGTCATCGTTCTTCTGAACAACGTCATCAGCACAAACTTCAGGTAGAAGTCTTCTACCAGCTCAGAGAACAAAACTTCATCAAAAAGGTTCACCCTTCAACGAGTCCGAACTACAATTTATAGGTGTGTAAAATGAGAACCAAAAACAAATATTTCGCCTCAGCAATAGCTCATTTTAGTTGTAGGGCCAGCGAAATGTCACTAAGCCCTAGCCAAATCATACAGCAGTTGGGTCATTGAATATCGAGCAAATCATCGATCCTCGTCAAGGTCAGGGACAACCAACGCGCATCAGTTAGTCGTATGCCATGGACTGGCCCGTGCGGCAGTGGTCTTACTTTCGCTTGTATCTACCTTAACCAATATATTTCTGTAATAACGTCCTCTGTGTTGGACAGTCTTCAAAGCACCTATGGTACCTTGATACGTCAATGGGGTAGTCCACGTAAGGTGCTGACCAAGAGGTGTGACTTCGACGTTAGCTGGTTCGTCACACCATTCCTGTCTAATTCGAAGTCTCCAATCATTTCCACATAGATCATCTGCGTTGGTGATCTACATTGGTGAGCAAGACTTCGAATAATGCAACCTATCACTACATAGTAAAACCTTCTGGCTTAGCACTACGTAAACAACCGTTACTAAGATTCCAATCGTCTAATGGTGATTACACATTAGTGTACCATAAGTATGTATGTACTATGAGTGTCTGCATTACCAGTGACATCGAGCTTCCAAATAAGTGCACGTAGAGCAAACTTTTGAACCATAGATAAAAAACGTATTTGTGGTACTTAACTGGAAACTACGCAGGTATCGCAATAAATGTACTACCTAGATTCATCTCTCGGCAGCTCAAAGCTGAACTCGAAATGAATATAATGCAATGCTGCCGCTCATTTTCGAACAGCTACACGAATTTCGATAATGCTTCAGTAAACATCAAAGTTATCTTGAGTTTCGGTAGTAAACTACTTCATTATATTAAATGAACTGGTGTAAAGGAATCGGTTTTACCTACAATTGTGACCAAATTTTGAACTGAGCTAGTACGAAGTGCAGCTATCAACTTAATGTAAGTCATAGATAAGCACTGGTTACACTTACAACATTTCATGAGAATGTTGAGTGAATTAGCTTGCAGTCTCAAGAGCCTCTTCCACAAAACAAACGTTAGCGAAACCTGGAGACGCATTCCAAACAAATATTTTTCTTAATTTTGTCATAAGACTTACTAAGTAAGATGTTGGTCCTATTCTAAATCGCCAAGATTTGTGTAGTATCATACTTCTTCAAATGGAATAGGTAAGTTTATTTACGTTTCGAAAAAGCTAGCATAGCTCCTGAATACAATTGCTTCTGGAAACTTGATAAATATGCAATATGTAGAAGATACTGATTTATTCCCGAGGGATGAAGTTCAATAAACCAGGCTCAAATCAATAATTTATGGTTTTAAAGATTGGTCTGACCATCCGAACTTCAATATGAGACTTAATCCTACACTAAATAGCAGAGGTGATCAAAGTCATGTTGATTATTTAAATAACATATTCTGACTTTAGGAGTGTTTATGGAATCGAAATCTATCAAGGTATTTTTGTCTTAAACTCTTTAGAGTAGTTAAAGTTTATATCCAAATTATTTATTTAAAAAAACCCATTCCTCGTTATCATAACAACCTTAACCTAATATTTTTCTGGTTAGCGCTTTTTTAGAGATTTAGTTCTCTACGGGATGGGATCGCTAACCCCATGCCCGACCCTCCTTCTTTATCCGGGCTTGGGACCGGCAGCAGCCCCAGAGGGGCCCCGGGCGGAGTTAACCTATTATTATAGGCCTCATTTAACAGATTTTTGCATTTGCAAATGTCTCCTTTTTTGAACTATATAATGCGTTTCCTCCATTTTTTACTCCCCTTCTTTCGTATAGCATTACCAATAAAAGTTATTGTCTAATTCCTAGGACGAAAATATTATTTCAATAATCCTATTCCATTCACATAATTCGTCAAAATCCCCCCTTCTATACTTACATACATTCTGTAGAAATTGCACTTCAGCCTGTAGCCCTTCTAGAGTTTCTCCCAATTGAAAGCCCGGATAAAGGAAGAGGGTTAGGCATGAGGTCAGCAACCCCATCCCATAGGAAACGACTTTCCTAGAAAAATGCTATCGAGGAAAAACGATTTGAACTCTCAACTGGGATTCAGAAGATCGTCACTCGAAAGAATTATGATACCCAAGATGCTTCGGAAATCACGAGGCCGATGCCTCTCCAGACGGTACTACAAGTAACTAGGACTAACGTTGGTCCTTATGTCTGAAGACCGAAAGCTGAATGCAAGAAACATTTGACTACTGATGGAATAATTGTTGACATCTGGATATTTTTTTAGAAAATCAATATTGCATTTATGCATACAAATTCAATGGTAAAATTATTTTGAATGGAGATGGTTTGTTTTCACAGGCAGGCTAACATACAAGAGAACCTTATCTAACTGCAGCTTTCAAGAGGTTACATTGTGCACAATTTTGTATCAAAGCAAACGAGAAAAAACTTCAACAATCAGTATTACCTTCGTTATTGAAAATCAGCTTGTTCGCGTAAACATTTTCTTCAGGAATATTGAGCAGTTTGGCTACACGATTAACTAACGGATATAATCCACCGCTTACCAAGTAAACATCAACCCCATTTTCTTTGAACTGATTAACAAGATTTCTGTCCAGAGCGTGAAAAATAAATACTTAAATAAATTATGTAGACCAAAATGATTATTAGGCCATATCATAAATTCATCAAGTTGATTTAGTACATAAGTTTAGATCTCAAAGAAAAACTGTTTTGAGGTCAACTGAGTTATCAAAACTTTTAAGATGGAAAATAGTTGGTTGAGGAAGAGAACGATTAAGTTTAAAACGTGACCTAAACACATCAGCAAACGGAGATTTGCAGTTCCACTGATCGATTCGTCACAGTTCCCCATTACCAGACACCTAGCCACGTCAGTGTTAACTCAATCATTCCACCATACACCGGTAATGCCTCAAAGACACTTAAGACTAAATATTTGTGGTCTACACATATGCCACAGCTGTAGCACAATACAGTGCGGACTGATGCGTAATATACCCGCCCATTGATTGGCAAACGGATATCTAGCTATATATTCCATATAGTTTTCATTTAAATAAAACATGTAGTGAGCAACACAAACCATATTTTTTTTACCAATAAAGGAAATATTTCAGTACCCTAAAGGCTAATATGATGAATTGTCCGCCACCTTGCCAAAAAAAGTTAGATCTCAGTATCACTAACAAATTATTGCTACCAAGTGAGACAACAATCACAAAAAGTGATTACAAAACACAGCCACGGAAATACTCAGTTTGTGATAGTCACATATGATCAATTCAAGAGGTAGACCGTACAAAATAAATTACATTTCTGAATAAAAACAACAGACAAACCATCCCAAAACCCATAGTTCAGGTAAGAAATACTAGTTACTTCTATAGAAGCGAATTACATCAAAGAATGCGAAACACTGTAAACTTTATGAAAAGTTCATTCCCAATATTTAAGCTACCATACAAAGATATTGCGTAAAGTCTATTCGAAGTCCTCATTTTTCTCTGAGTAATACTTTTACCAAGTTTCACCCAAAATGTTATCCACAGCTATTTTTAGGAGAACGGATGATAATCTTATTAAACTAAACTGACTGATCGAATTCTGCAATAGAGACTGAAAGGATATCATAACAGTCAGTCAGTCAGCTACAACGTAGGACCAGGCACATATGTGCATCGGTCCAGGTTGCCATACCTCATTAGCACAACAAGATGAACACCGGATTCATAGGAGTGGTTAGGTCAAAGGTTGCAATAAGGATATAGTATAGGAAGGAAGAATTAGTTCGTAGAAAGAAAGGTATGAAGTGATTTTAATCTCTTAGTTTAAGGTAAGACAGAGAGTGTATACACCGACGCCATTGTGATCGATTCTGGGCCATGTCACCAAGAGTCTCCAACCATTGGTTACGAAAGTCACGCGGACCCCAACCAAGTAGTCTGCATCTACCAACATGGCTCAGACTAGAAGTTAGTGACTTCAAGCACTGATGCCACGTTTTGGTTTGGCCGCCCCTAACTTTTTTCCAACCATCCCCTACACCGGTTAGCATTGCACGTCGTGGTAATCGGTGTTCAGGCATACGTAATACGTGGCCCAACCATCTCAGTCGATGAAGATTCATAACCTCATCAACTGATTTACCATCATTCCCTAATACCCTGCGTCTAACCTCACTATTACTTACCCGGTGATCCCAGCAGATGCCAGCAATATTTCTAAGGCATCTGTGGTCAAATACTTGTAGCTTACGGGTGTCTTCTACTCTTAAAGGCCATGTTTCGCTGCCGTAGAGTAAGACAGAACGGACTGCCGCGCAGTATACTCGTCCTTTTATTGATAGACGGATATCTCGCCTCCGCCAAAGGTGACGTAAGTTGGCAAAAGCCAAGCGAGCTTTTCGAATCCGTGCTGAGATTTCGTCAGACACCAACCCATTAGGGCTGATCAGACTTCCAAGATATCATAACAGATCCAAATAAAAACGAAACAGAGACAAGAACGTTCATTGACCAACTCTATGTATATAAGTTAGAATACCAACACCTATAAACCGCATTTTAGTGCTGTTATAAAACTATATTAAAAGTAGCCCTACAGTATGACTTGACAGAGTAAAATATAGATTAATCACTTCCATTTTGGTACATTTAAAAAGATTCCAGCGATTTAATATGGATGTTTCATTTGAAAACGTTTAAGAAATTCCCGTCAAATTTACTTGACAGCATTGGTATTTACATCTAGTGGATGTGAAAGTTTACACACAAGTGTCTGTACAGTCTGCTAGGGGCAGTAGCTTAGTGGTGAATCCATATGCTTTACAGTCACTGAGCTCCAGGTTCGAACTCCACCTCACCTATTTCGGTATGAGCAACAGGGTATTATCATTAACCTTTAGACTTGGAATGTGGCTCATACCCAAGTAACTTAAGAATGAGTTAAATTATTCGTATTTTGTATGATTACTGACTTCGTGTGTACGAAGAAAACCGCGAGGCATATTACTTCATAACACAGTTCAATAATTTATTTAGTTAACATGTAATTCTTATCTTAAAATCATCAACTATTACAACCAAAATAGTATTTGCATCACACTGTAACAGCGACTTGGATATCGACTACTATTAAAATTAAGATTATATACACATACATAATTAATGGCTCATGTCCTTCTTAGTTTCATAAAAACACTCGTTCATTATGACGTTTTGAAAATAAACTCTGTCAGACCTGACCATAGTGACATTTACATTAACAAAAGTATTTATTTAGAAAGGTCAATTTTTATAGGAATGAATGGCATATCTTCCAAAGTCTGATAAAACGAAAATCCATGGTGATTTTCAAAATTGGTTTATTAAATGAATGGAGAAAATAAGAAATGAAGTTATTTACACAATGATAACCGGAGCACGTACATTATGATTGCAAAACTAAAAGATTTAGTGAGATGAACTTACTCAACACCCGGTGTTAGTCTAACTGGATGGTTGTCTAAAAAGTCAGTAAGCTTCTTTAGATTTAAATTCATTATTGATAAGCGGGCTTCTAATGCCTTAGTAATGTCCAATTCTCCATTCATAGCCTCCTCAGTGCTAATGAAACTTTGAAATATAGACGAAATTTATTGTCTACATTTTTTTAACTTTATCAGTAACTCCAAGAAAACTGGCAATTTCATCCAGTCCTTCATCTTCACAAACTGTTGAGTCTACGTCCAAACAAACGCATTTGATATTAGACCAATCTGCAAACATCGATATGTTATACATTAACAAAAAGAAGTTTATTACACTTCAGTTATGTAGCCTCTGAAACAAGAAAGAATCCGATGTACTAGTATACAAAACCAAGTGTAAGGACTAGTTATATGGAGTAAAGATTTGAAACAACTAAAGATGCCATACGTCAAAAAGATCTATGAGGGTCTTCTAGATACACATCAGACTAAACCAATACTACAACACCAACGATTGTGACTTGTACTTTGAGAACAAAAGATCAGGTGCCTGTGTCAGTCCTCTTCTAGTATGATTTCGTGTCCTTATTCTTCTCTTGAATGAGTAAATTGAAGGCCCATGAACTATTTATCCTGGTAGTTAGTTCTAAAAGTAAATTATTCGGCAAGAAATATTGTTCGTTCTTGACTTCTGGATCCGCCAGTTGGAAGAAAACAAAGGTAATTCAGGTTAAAAATCACTTTTAAGTATCCTTCACACCATAATTATATCGCTTCCGAATCAAATGTATAGTAATGTAATAAAACTTGGTTTCCAGAGATCCATGGTATGAGGAAAGCCACTGGAATCACAAGGGTACAATTCCTCTGCACATCTAAAAGATCTGAGTAATCTTTTAAAAAAGGGCTTGCGACTTGCACAGTACGCTCGAATTCGGATCTCATTATGGGCTGAGTAAAATAGTGACATACCTTTGGTTATTTTGCGAGTTTTTCTTAACCCCCAAGCCATTCTATGACACTTAGCGAATACCAAACGTCACTGAGCCATGATCCACAAGTGATGATTGACTATGATCCCTGGGTCGTCGGTCAAGAAGTAAAGACGACAAACTTTTCCTAGTTTTCTGGTTGATACCAATTTGCATTAAGAAGCAACTGACTGCACTATCACACATTATAGACGTTTCGAATAAAAATAAAAATACTTTCAGACCAGCTGGTGGTCAAGTTGCTACAGCAGTGATTGATGACCCAGACAAAACCATTATTGTCCTGAGTAGTTCTAATGTGGATACTGCAACTGATGGGAAATAAATGAAGCGTAAACACAGAAAAGGAAAGATAGCCAAAAATAACGCAAGTTTGGATGAAAAGTCCTTGGTGGGCTCATATCCGGTGTTAAAGATTACTCCGCCAAGTCCCAAATTAAGACGATATTCAACCCTATCATATATATATAGGAAAACTTCGGCCTCATCAAACATTGTCATCAGTCATTCGCTCGACAGTTTTATCAGCCACATGTACAGGTCCTATAGCTGATATCTCGGTGTGATTAGAACAAGTATTTCTAACAATACACGTAGAGTATACTTCGCTTGAATAGTTTAATTCTCAGCTTTTCCCAGATTTGATTCCGCTAATAAATCTGGATTTCCGTATAACAGTAATGGGGGAATACCATCAATGCGTTCTGTTCTCCATTTATCGTAGAAAAACAATCGTTTCGGACAAGTACGGCTATCATATTTCAACTGTCTTTCGTAAATAGTACAGCATCTAGCTATGGTCTTTTTACATATATTCTGGAGCTTTTGGTATTCGCACCTAAATTATTCGTGTCCTGTTGACAATAATAAGTCCCAGAAGTGTTTCCTACGCTTCAATAGCTTTTTGCTCTCCCTATTGATCCATGGAGGATTATGTGATAGCTTACGTATTGACCATAGGATAAACGGTGATGTTACAGACTCGAATGTAGCCTTAAACTTATTCCATTCGTCTCAGATCGACCCACCTGCATTGGTCGATCAGTCAGTCGAGATAGCACAGTCTCTGATTGCCGGGATATTAGCCCGCCAGATATTGGAACGGTGTGGGGCAAATACACATTGTATACCGTGTGTCTGGAACATAAAGTAAAGTACAACGTGGTCACTATTCGCTAGTAGGGGAAAGTGTTGAATGTCGATGACATTCTCACAGAGGTGTGTGAGGACAAGGTCCAGCAATAACGGATCATTTTCCAAGTCAATATGTCGGTCTTGCGATACAGGGTCGCTATCGAGACCCCCACCTGAAGCTGTAAGTTCTATTCAGTTGATATGCGGTGCGTTGACTTGTTCCACTAACATGCGCCTCCGATGCGACTGATTATATACGAAAGTGATCCATAACATATAACATTATGCCGGTTCCGTTGAGACTTATAACTCGATCACTTCTAATACAGATGTAGCCTGCAATGATGAGGGAACAGTCTATATGTACGGCGAGCCAAGTTTCTGTGACAATTATATTGGGACTTAATTCATCCACCATCAAACTTAGCTCAGACGTTTTATTTCGAAGACTACGAGCGTTCGTGTAACACACATCTAAGGTGCTTTAAGAATCATTCGTTCTACCCACACAGGCCTCGGAAGCATTGGCTTCCAGGACCTGACCACCCGAAAACACTTAATCGTAAGATTCGCTTTGCCACTTAGCTTTCGACTTTCTAACTTTGTAAAGACATTCTTCCACTTGATTTGATCCTCAAGCAGCCAATCTGGTCGGATACGAATATTTGAATGCATCGTTTAGAATGATGTCTCTTCCTTCATGAATTCCGAGTACTAACTTTAGGGTCCTTTTTATTTGGATCTCGCCTCAAGCTAATTTACCGACCCGAGCTCCCAATTTTGGGGAAGCCGCCATAGTAAACTTTGGGGAGATTTCGGAGAAATGGCACAAAAACCCCAAAATTTCCCCAGAGTCTTACTACAATTTGGGGAAATATGCTTATATTTATTAATAAAACCCTGAAATTTTTCACAATTTTGGGGAAATTTTGCGTTTTTCCCCAAAATTGCCCTTGATACGACTCAATTCTTATCACTTTCGTGATATGTACCCCAAAAACCTTTTCAGATAGTACATTTCTGATAGCAGATCGTGTGCGTATCTTTTATCAGGGTCATTGTCTTTCGACTCCACTAGATTCTAAATAATTAAACTGGGAACAGGTTAAACTTCTTTGAAAGTCGTGTTCGCGGCAAGAAAACTAACGGCAAGCTCCCAGAAGTTAACAGGAAGGATCTCACATCACTGAAAGGCAAACTGTCAGGATTGATACAGGTCCAGCAACCTACTTTCCTTATTACCGTAGACTGGTAATATTTTCCTAAATTACCAGTGACAGACAACCGACATAGAGGATGAATACGTACATTTATTATGATGCTGGCCCACTAAGAAAAGAACAACTGCTTTTCTAAAGGTTTTAAATATAACCTTTCCTTCTTAGCTATGGTGCGTCACATCGACAACTCGTGAAGTTTTTCAGAAGCGGTCAAATCAAGACATATTTAAATTTGAATTTAGTTCAGCCACACTATGTCTGATAACACATCCTACAAGTAACGAAGACGATGCCATCGTGATGATGCATGATATAAGACGAATCTCCAATGGTATTACGTTAGCTCAACGGTTTACAAGTTGGGACAATTTTGAGAACTGTTTGAAAGAATTACATGAGGTAATACGACTTCTGTGGTTAATAATTATTTTTGTAGAATAAGCATACAAAGTACGTTACGTCAGTATGTAAAAAACAGTGATGACCCGAATCTAAAGTATTTTTTTCGTGAGATGTGTTATAATCATCTATAGCATATGCATAATATTTACAACCCTCAGCACAGCTAATATATTCTCTATTAACCTAGGTTGTGGCAGAAATAGCTATTTCTGCCACAAAAGTCGAAAACAGTGAAAATCAGCCAAAATTGTGATAAAGAAAGGAAAAACGATAAATCTTATTATGGTATCGTTACTTGTAGTGCTTTTTTGGTAGCCTTGACGACAATACAATTTTTATGACGACATATGCCTGAATCATGCTATTTCATATAAAAGTAAAGGATTTGTTCACCATAAGTGTATACCTAAGTAGAAATTATTGCTAGTCTGCGATGCAAACACGAAAAAAACTATTATAGCAGCACCTGAATAATGAATTTTCAAGGACTTCGCGATACCATGTAACGCAAAATGGAAAAACCCCTTTTCACTTAATTATGAAAACGGAAAATAGACTTTCAAATTTATTCGTAATTAATTTCAAAATTTTTTTGTTCACAAAGCAGAAATAAAAAAGTAGCGCAAAAAAGTGTCGCGATACCTCTGGAGCGCTGCCGGAGTGTTGCCGGCTGCACAACGACTCTGACATTCATAATCCCACAACGTTGCGAAATCATGAACACTTAATCAGTGGCTGAAGAAGTGAAGTACCTCCCATAGTAAATAAGCTGTCCATACTTAAAAATATCACGAATATTCATGGCTTGACAATGCCCTTGGCTGTAACACTATATAGTTGTAGGATACCAACCCAGTCAAACCAGAAGTCAAGAATGAAGGAGTTCCGGAATATCATACGAAAGTATTCGATATGTCAATAAGCATGTGGCCTATGCTGAATAGTTGTTGCAAGAGATGAGTATCGCGGCATAGCTATCCGTGATCTAAAGTAGAAGTGTGACCGGTAACCTTCAAGTTTGACGTGTCTAACAAAACTCAAGATGTTGTAGCGGTAAGTAAATCCCCAAAATAAATAGCTCTGTAAGTTTTCGACATTGGATGCTGACCATGTTTTAGTGGACCCATTTAGCTGAAGGCTCTCGGTCATGCATCCGCACCAGATCACGTGTGATAACGCTGTGCTCAACATCTACTGCAATCGCTAGCCTGATTAGATCAGAGAATTCCGATACATTGGTTATCGCCAAATGCACTCTTCCGGTCTCCTCAACTCTGTATTTTGATTTCTCTTGGTGGGTACGAATTATATTAGGTGTTGCTGGTAAAAGTGTTGTCAAACACTGAATACCTGTGCCATCTTCAACGTCAGGGTCGATGTTAAAATTTTATAGCGCCACATACCCCAGGATTGTTTTTACCAGAATAAATCACTACTCTTTAATAGGGTAGTAAATATTCCAAGACATGTCCAGCCAAAAATCCAAACACAATAGAGTCTGACTGTCTTTTCCTAATCTAAAACGTCGTAAGGTACAAAATATTAATGGAAGATATGTTGAATAAAAATTTCGATTCGTCATATCCGTCTTCAGTTTTTCATTCTTTCCAGTCAGTCAGGGAATGAAACAAACTAAAAATGTGAGTGCAACACGAAATATACTCGTACTTACGTAACCAACCGTATTGTGCAAAAAACATCGGTATAAACGCATATATGTAACACGGAACGCTTGAAAAAATTACATCCAAGAAAGGTGGGTCTTATCTGTGTCAAAGCACCTGCACACGTTGTTGATGTAGGCTTTAAAAATCAGTGGACCAAGACACTATCCAGCACAACATCACTGATTATTGGTCGAGGTGTAGATGTTGTAGAGTTAATCTAAGTTATTTGATATTTGTTCGTGAGAAAAGGCTTGATTCATTGCAATAAGAGGTTTGTAATTCTAACTGACTGATGTCTGTTGATTGGAATGTTATGAGGCACATTGTAGAGGCTAGTTTAATCTATATCTCACTCCAATAAATAGTACCCCGTTAACTCAGTATTTAATGCAGGCTGAATCTCCTAGTAGAATTATGGATTTACTCGAATTAATCAAAAGCCTGAACACCAGTTTATAGAGATAATTTACTGTTAAAGATTGGTAAAATCCTCAAGTGTGCACGAAGCAAGCACACATGGAAACCAAGCGTGTGTGGGTATGTGTGTGAGTGTTAAAAATCCTCATATATTTATGAGTGTTATTCAAGTAAGGATAAATTATTGATTATCTGTGTATTACAACTAATGGGAGAATAGATTGGAAACTGATGTACAGCATGTGCTCAACATTACTCACACAGAAATGTACAAAGTGAATTGAGTGTCTAAATTACAGTGAGCAGATAAATAATACAGTAGTTGTATGGGCTTACTACACCTTATCAAGAGATTTCTTGATATAACTAGCTCATTTTGGTCATGTTTTCATAGATTTTATGGAGTGACGAAGTGACTTCTTTTGAACTAAATTGTCCATTTTTCTTGTGACAGGATTTCTCGGTAGGGAGTGAAAGTAATTCAAAGTCACAAACATGAGTCGAAGGAGTATTTCGCATAAGTAATTAGCATCGACACCACTGGTTAATTACATCCCATTAACAAATAAGGAGCCGTAATTCAACAAAACTTTCTGTCCTATAATCATGAGTAAATTGAAGTCGTCGCCCATTCCCATGTTTGCTGGTCAGTAACGCCATCCTTCCTCCTTTCGTGATGCTAGGCTCTCTTACGTTTGCGGCATGTAGGAATATTGCTTAAGTCCAAGCACCACGTAGCACATCTTGTTAGAATACATTGAATTTACTATTTCCAAACGAATCAGAATAGCTAAAGCTTTTGTATTTTGGGATTAGATTTCCACTATGTATATCCTACTGCGATGAAGTTAATTAATGAGATGTTATTGTAGGGCCAGCGAAATGTCACTAAGCCCTAGCCAAATCATACAGCAGTTGGGTCATTGAATATCGAGCAAATCATCGATCCTCGTCAAGGTCAGGGACAACCAACGCGCATCAGTTAGTCGTATGCCATGGACTGGCCCGTGCGGCAGTGGTCTTACTTTCGCTTGTATCTACCTTAACCAATATATTTCTGTAATAACGTCCTCTGTGTTGGACAGTCTTCAAAGCACCTATGGTACCTTGATACGTCAATGGGGTAGTCCACGTAAGGTGCTGACCAAGAGGTGTGACTTCGACGTTAGCTGGTTCGTCACACCATTCCTGTCTAATTCGAAGTCTCCAATCATTTCCACATAGATCATCTGCGTTGGTGATCTACATTGGTGAGCAAGACTTCGAATAATGCAACCTATCACTACATAGTAAAACCTTCTGGCTTAGCACTACGTAAACAACCGTTACTAAGATTCCAATCGTCTAATGGTGATTACACATTAGTGTACCATAAGTATGTATGTACTATGAGTGTCTGCATTACCAGTGACATCGAGCTTCCAAATAAGTGCACGTAGAGCAAACTTTTGAACCATAGATAAAAAACGTATTTGTGGTACTTAACTGGAAACTACGCAGGTATCGCAATAAATGTACTACCTAGATTCATCTCTCGGCAGCTCAAAGCTGAACTCGAAATGAATATAATGCAATGCTGCCGCTCATTTTCGAACAGCTACACGAATTTCGATAATGCTTCAGTAAACATCAAAGTTATCTTGAGTTTCGGTAGTAAACTACTTCATTATATTAAATGAACTGGTGTAAAGGAATCGGTTTTACCTACAATTGTGACCAAATTTTGAACTGAGCTAGTACGAAGTGCAGCTATCAACTTAATGTAAGTCATAGATAAGCACTGGTTACACTTACAACATTTCATGAGAATGTTGAGTGAATTAGCTTGCAGTCTCAAGAGCCTCTTCCACAAAACAAACGTTAGCGAAACCTGGAGACGCATTCCAAACAAATATTTTTCTTAATTTTGTCATAAGACTTACTAAGTAAGATGTTGGTCCTATTCTAAATCGCCAAGATTTGTGTAGTATCATACTTCTTCAAATGGAATAGGTAAGTTTATTTACGTTTCGAAAAAGCTAGCATAGCTCCTGAATACAATTGCTTCTGGAAACTTGATAAATATGCAATATGTAGAAGATACTGATTTATTCCCGAGGGATGAAGTTCAATAAACCAGGCTCAAATCAATAATTTATGGTTTTAAAGATTGGTCTGACCATCCGAACTTCAATATGAGACTTAATCCTACACTAAATAGCAGAGGTGATCAAAGTCATGTTGATTATTTAAATAACATATTCTGACTTTAGGAGTGTTTATGGAATCGAAATCTATCAAGGTATTTTTGTCTTAAACTCTTTAGAGTAGTTAAAGTTTATATCCAAATTATTTATTTAAAAAAACCCATTCCTCGTTATCATAACAACCTTAACCTAATATTTTTCTGGTTAGCGCTTTTTTAGAGATTTAGTTCTCTACGGGATGGGATCGCTAACCCCATGCCCGACCCTCCTTCTTTATCCGGGCTTGGGACCGGCAGCAGCCCCAGAGGGGCCCCGGGCGGAGTTAACCTATTATTATAGGCCTCATTTAACAGATTTTTGCATTTGCAAATGTCTCCTTTTTTGAACTATATAATGCGTTTCCTCCATTTTTTACTCCCCTTCTTTCGTATAGCATTACCAATAAAAGTTATTGTCTAATTCCTAGGACGAAAATATTATTTCAATAATCCTATTCCATTCACATAATTCGTCAAAATCCCCCCTTCTATACTTACATACATTCTGTAGAAATTGCACTTCAGCCTGTAGCCCTTCTAGAGTTTCTCCCAATTGAAAGCCCGGATAAAGGAAGAGGGTTAGGCATGAGGTCAGCAACCCCATCCCATAGGAAACGACTTTCCTAGAAAAATGCTATCGAGGAAAAACGATTTGAACTCTCAACTGGGATTCAGAAGATCGTCACTCGAAAGAATTATGATACCCAAGATGCTTCGGAAATCACGAGGCCGATGCCTCTCCAGACGGTACTACAAGTAACTAGGACTAACGTTGGTCCTTATGTCTGAAGACCGAAAGCTGAATGCAAGAAACATTTGACTACTGATGGAATAATTGTTGACATCTGGATATTTTTTTAGAAAATCAATATTGCATTTATGCATACAAATTCAATGGTAAAATTATTTTGAATGGAGATGGTTTGTTTTCACAGGCAGGCTAACATACAAGAGAACCTTATCTAACTGCAGCTTTCAAGAGGTTACATTGTGCACAATTTTGTATCAAAGCAAACGAGAAAAAACTTCAACAATCAGTATTACCTTCGTTATTGAAAATCAGCTTGTTCGCGTAAACATTTTCTTCAGGAATATTGAGCAGTTTGGCTACACGATTAACTAACGGATATAATCCACCGCTTACCAAGTAAACATCAACCCCATTTTCTTTGAACTGATTAACAAGATTTCTGTCCAGAGCGTGAAAAATAAATACTTAAATAAATTATGTAGACCAAAATGATTATTAGGCCATATCATAAATTCATCAAGTTGATTTAGTACATAAGTTTAGATCTCAAAGAAAAACTGTTTTGAGGTCAACTGAGTTATCAAAACTTTTAAGATGGAAAATAGTTGGTTGAGGAAGAGAACGATTAAGTTTAAAACGTGACCTAAACACATCAGCAAACGGAGATTTGCAGTTCCACTGATCGATTCGTCACAGTTCCCCATTACCAGACACCTAGCCACGTCAGTGTTAACTCAATCATTCCACCATACACCGGTAATGCCTCAAAGACACTTAAGACTAAATATTTGTGGTCTACACATATGCCACAGCTGTAGCACAATACAGTGCGGACTGATGCGTAATATACCCGCCCATTGATTGGCAAACGGATATCTAGCTATATATTCCATATAGTTTTCATTTAAATAAAACATGTAGTGAGCAACACAAACCATATTTTTTTTACCAATAAAGGAAATATTTCAGTACCCTAAAGGCTAATATGATGAATTGTCCGCCACCTTGCCAAAAAAAGTTAGATCTCAGTATCACTAACAAATTATTGCTACCAAGTGAGACAACAATCACAAAAAGTGATTACAAAACACAGCCACGGAAATACTCAGTTTGTGATAGTCACATATGATCAATTCAAGAGGTAGACCGTACAAAATAAATTACATTTCTGAATAAAAACAACAGACAAACCATCCCAAAACCCATAGTTCAGGTAAGAAATACTAGTTACTTCTATAGAAGCGAATTACATCAAAGAATGCGAAACACTGTAAACTTTATGAAAAGTTCATTCCCAATATTTAAGCTACCATACAAAGATATTGCGTAAAGTCTATTCGAAGTCCTCATTTTTCTCTGAGTAATACTTTTACCAAGTTTCACCCAAAATGTTATCCACAGCTATTTTTAGGAGAACGGATGATAATCTTATTAAACTAAACTGACTGATCGAATTCTGCAATAGAGACTGAAAGGATATCATAACAGTCAGTCAGTCAGCTACAACGTAGGACCAGGCACATATGTGCATCGGTCCAGGTTGCCATACCTCATTAGCACAACAAGATGAACACCGGATTCATAGGAGTGGTTAGGTCAAAGGTTGCAATAAGGATATAGTATAGGAAGGAAGAATTAGTTCGTAGAAAGAAAGGTATGAAGTGATTTTAATCTCTTAGTTTAAGGTAAGACAGAGAGTGTATACACCGACGCCATTGTGATCGATTCTGGGCCATGTCACCAAGAGTCTCCAACCATTGGTTACGAAAGTCACGCGGACCCCAACCAAGTAGTCTGCATCTACCAACATGGCTCAGACTAGAAGTTAGTGACTTCAAGCACTGATGCCACGTTTTGGTTTGGCCGCCCCTAACTTTTTTCCAACCATCCCCTACACCGGTTAGCATTGCACGTCGTGGTAATCGGTGTTCAGGCATACGTAATACGTGGCCCAACCATCTCAGTCGATGAAGATTCATAACCTCATCAACTGATTTACCATCATTCCCTAATACCCTGCGTCTAACCTCACTATTACTTACCCGGTGATCCCAGCAGATGCCAGCAATATTTCTAAGGCATCTGTGGTCAAATACTTGTAGCTTACGGGTGTCTTCTACTCTTAAAGGCCATGTTTCGCTGCCGTAGAGTAAGACAGAACGGACTGCCGCGCAGTATACTCGTCCTTTTATTGATAGACGGATATCTCGCCTCCGCCAAAGGTGACGTAAGTTGGCAAAAGCCAAGCGAGCTTTTCGAATCCGTGCTGAGATTTCGTCAGACACCAACCCATTAGGGCTGATCAGACTTCCAAGATATCATAACAGATCCAAATAAAAACGAAACAGAGACAAGAACGTTCATTGACCAACTCTATGTATATAAGTTAGAATACCAACACCTATAAACCGCATTTTAGTGCTGTTATAAAACTATATTAAAAGTAGCCCTACAGTATGACTTGACAGAGTAAAATATAGATTAATCACTTCCATTTTGGTACATTTAAAAAGATTCCAGCGATTTAATATGGATGTTTCATTTGAAAACGTTTAAGAAATTCCCGTCAAATTTACTTGACAGCATTGGTATTTACATCTAGTGGATGTGAAAGTTTACACACAAGTGTCTGTACAGTCTGCTAGGGGCAGTAGCTTAGTGGTGAATCCATATGCTTTACAGTCACTGAGCTCCAGGTTCGAACTCCACCTCACCTATTTCGGTATGAGCAACAGGGTATTATCATTAACCTTTAGACTTGGAATGTGGCTCATACCCAAGTAACTTAAGAATGAGTTAAATTATTCGTATTTTGTATGATTACTGACTTCGTGTGTACGAAGAAAACCGCGAGGCATATTACTTCATAACACAGTTCAATAATTTATTTAGTTAACATGTAATTCTTATCTTAAAATCATCAACTATTACAACCAAAATAGTATTTGCATCACACTGTAACAGCGACTTGGATATCGACTACTATTAAAATTAAGATTATATACACATACATAATTAATGGCTCATGTCCTTCTTAGTTTCATAAAAACACTCGTTCATTATGACGTTTTGAAAATAAACTCTGTCAGACCTGACCATAGTGACATTTACATTAACAAAAGTATTTATTTAGAAAGGTCAATTTTTATAGGAATGAATGGCATATCTTCCAAAGTCTGATAAAACGAAAATCCATGGTGATTTTCAAAATTGGTTTATTAAATGAATGGAGAAAATAAGAAATGAAGTTATTTACACAATGATAACCGGAGCACGTACATTATGATTGCAAAACTAAAAGATTTAGTGAGATGAACTTACTCAACACCCGGTGTTAGTCTAACTGGATGGTTGTCTAAAAAGTCAGTAAGCTTCTTTAGATTTAAATTCATTATTGATAAGCGGGCTTCTAATGCCTTAGTAATGTCCAATTCTCCATTCATAGCCTCCTCAGTGCTAATGAAACTTTGAAATATAGACGAAATTTATTGTCTACATTTTTTTAACTTTATCAGTAACTCCAAGAAAACTGGCAATTTCATCCAGTCCTTCATCTTCACAAACTGTTGAGTCTACGTCCAAACAAACGCATTTGATATTAGACCAATCTGCAAACATCGATATGTTATACATTAACAAAAAGAAGTTTATTACACTTCAGTTATGTAGCCTCTGAAACAAGAAAGAATCCGATGTACTAGTATACAAAACCAAGTGTAAGGACTAGTTATATGGAGTAAAGATTTGAAACAACTAAAGATGCCATACGTCAAAAAGATCTATGAGGGTCTTCTAGATACACATCAGACTAAACCAATACTACAACACCAACGATTGTGACTTGTACTTTGAGAACAAAAGATCAGGTGCCTGTGTCAGTCCTCTTCTAGTATGATTTCGTGTCCTTATTCTTCTCTTGAATGAGTAAATTGAAGGCCCATGAACTATTTATCCTGGTAGTTAGTTCTAAAAGTAAATTATTCGGCAAGAAATATTGTTCGTTCTTGACTTCTGGATCCGCCAGTTGGAAGAAAACAAAGGTAATTCAGGTTAAAAATCACTTTTAAGTATCCTTCACACCATAATTATATCGCTTCCGAATCAAATGTATAGTAATGTAATAAAACTTGGTTTCCAGAGATCCATGGTATGAGGAAAGCCACTGGAATCACAAGGGTACAATTCCTCTGCACATCTAAAAGATCTGAGTAATCTTTTAAAAAAGGGCTTGCGACTTGCACAGTACGCTCGAATTCGGATCTCATTATGGGCTGAGTAAAATAGTGACATACCTTTGGTTATTTTGCGAGTTTTTCTTAACCCCCAAGCCATTCTATGACACTTAGCGAATACCAAACGTCACTGAGCCATGATCCACAAGTGATGATTGACTATGATCCCTGGGTCGTCGGTCAAGAAGTAAAGACGACAAACTTTTCCTAGTTTTCTGGTTGATACCAATTTGCATTAAGAAGCAACTGACTGCACTATCACACATTATAGACGTTTCGAATAAAAATAAAAATACTTTCAGACCAGCTGGTGGTCAAGTTGCTACAGCAGTGATTGATGACCCAGACAAAACCATTATTGTCCTGAGTAGTTCTAATGTGGATACTGCAACTGATGGGAAATAAATGAAGCGTAAACACAGAAAAGGAAAGATAGCCAAAAATAACGCAAGTTTGGATGAAAAGTCCTTGGTGGGCTCATATCCGGTGTTAAAGATTACTCCGCCAAGTCCCAAATTAAGACGATATTCAACCCTATCATATATATATAGGAAAACTTCGGCCTCATCAAACATTGTCATCAGTCATTCGCTCGACAGTTTTATCAGCCACATGTACAGGTCCTATAGCTGATATCTCGGTGTGATTAGAACAAGTATTTCTAACAATACACGTAGAGTATACTTCGCTTGAATAGTTTAATTCTCAGCTTTTCCCAGATTTGATTCCGCTAATAAATCTGGATTTCCGTATAACAGTAATGGGGGAATACCATCAATGCGTTCTGTTCTCCATTTATCGTAGAAAAACAATCGTTTCGGACAAGTACGGCTATCATATTTCAACTGTCTTTCGTAAATAGTACAGCATCTAGCTATGGTCTTTTTACATATATTCTGGAGCTTTTGGTATTCGCACCTAAATTATTCGTGTCCTGTTGACAATAATAAGTCCCAGAAGTGTTTCCTACGCTTCAATAGCTTTTTGCTCTCCCTATTGATCCATGGAGGATTATGTGATAGCTTACGTATTGACCATAGGATAAACGGTGATGTTACAGACTCGAATGTAGCCTTAAACTTATTCCATTCGTCTCAGATCGACCCACCTGCATTGGTCGATCAGTCAGTCGAGATAGCACAGTCTCTGATTGCCGGGATATTAGCCCGCCAGATATTGGAACGGTGTGGGGCAAATACACATTGTATACCGTGTGTCTGGAACATAAAGTAAAGTACAACGTGGTCACTATTCGCTAGTAGGGGAAAGTGTTGAATGTCGATGACATTCTCACAGAGGTGTGTGAGGACAAGGTCCAGCAATAACGGATCATTTTCCAAGTCAATATGTCGGTCTTGCGATACAGGGTCGCTATCGAGACCCCCACCTGAAGCTGTAAGTTCTATTCAGTTGATATGCGGTGCGTTGACTTGTTCCACTAACATGCGCCTCCGATGCGACTGATTATATACGAAAGTGATCCATAACATATAACATTATGCCGGTTCCGTTGAGACTTATAACTCGATCACTTCTAATACAGATGTAGCCTGCAATGATGAGGGAACAGTCTATATGTACGGCGAGCCAAGTTTCTGTGACAATTATATTGGGACTTAATTCATCCACCATCAAACTTAGCTCAGACGTTTTATTTCGAAGACTACGAGCGTTCGTGTAACACACATCTAAGGTGCTTTAAGAATCATTCGTTCTACCCACACAGGCCTCGGAAGCATTGGCTTCCAGGACCTGACCACCCGAAAACACTTAATCGTAAGATTCGCTTTGCCACTTAGCTTTCGACTTTCTAACTTTGTAAAGACATTCTTCCACTTGATTTGATCCTCAAGCAGCCAATCTGGTCGGATACGAATATTTGAATGCATCGTTTAGAATGATGTCTCTTCCTTCATGAATTCCGAGTACTAACTTTAGGGTCCTTTTTATTTGGATCTCGCCTCAAGCTAATTTACCGACCCGAGCTCCCAATTTTGGGGAAGCCGCCATAGTAAACTTTGGGGAGATTTCGGAGAAATGGCACAAAAACCCCAAAATTTCCCCAGAGTCTTACTACAATTTGGGGAAATATGCTTATATTTATTAATAAAACCCTGAAATTTTTCACAATTTTGGGGAAATTTTGCGTTTTTCCCCAAAATTGCCCTTGATACGACTCAATTCTTATCACTTTCGTGATATGTACCCCAAAAACCTTTTCAGATAGTACATTTCTGATAGCAGATCGTGTGCGTATCTTTTATCAGGGTCATTGTCTTTCGACTCCACTAGATTCTAAATAATTAAACTGGGAACAGGTTAAACTTCTTTGAAAGTCGTGTTCGCGGCAAGAAAACTAACGGCAAGCTCCCAGAAGTTAACAGGAAGGATCTCACATCACTGAAAGGCAAACTGTCAGGATTGATACAGGTCCAGCAACCTACTTTCCTTATTACCGTAGACTGGTAATATTTTCCTAAATTACCAGTGACAGACAACCGACATAGAGGATGAATACGTACATTTATTATGATGCTGGCCCACTAAGAAAAGAACAACTGCTTTTCTAAAGGTTTTAAATATAACCTTTCCTTCTTAGCTATGGTGCGTCACATCGACAACTCGTGAAGTTTTTCAGAAGCGGTCAAATCAAGACATATTTAAATTTGAATTTAGTTCAGCCACACTATGTCTGATAACACATCCTACAAGTAACGAAGACGATGCCATCGTGATGATGCATGATATAAGACGAATCTCCAATGGTATTACGTTAGCTCAACGGTTTACAAGTTGGGACAATTTTGAGAACTGTTTGAAAGAATTACATGAGGTAATACGACTTCTGTGGTTAATAATTATTTTTGTAGAATAAGCATACAAAGTACGTTACGTCAGTATGTAAAAAACAGTGATGACCCGAATCTAAAGTATTTTTTTCGTGAGATGTGTTATAATCATCTATAGCATATGCATAATATTTACAACCCTCAGCACAGCTAATATATTCTCTATTAACCTAGGTTGTGGCAGAAATAGCTATTTCTGCCACAAAAGTCGAAAACAGTGAAAATCAGCCAAAATTGTGATAAAGAAAGGAAAAACGATAAATCTTATTATGGTATCGTTACTTGTAGTGCTTTTTTGGTAGCCTTGACGACAATACAATTTTTATGACGACATATGCCTGAATCATGCTATTTCATATAAAAGTAAAGGATTTGTTCACCATAAGTGTATACCTAAGTAGAAATTATTGCTAGTCTGCGATGCAAACACGAAAAAAACTATTATAGCAGCACCTGAATAATGAATTTTCAAGGACTTCGCGATACCATGTAACGCAAAATGGAAAAACCCCTTTTCACTTAATTATGAAAACGGAAAATAGACTTTCAAATTTATTCGTAATTAATTTCAAAATTTTTTTGTTCACAAAGCAGAAATAAAAAAGTAGCGCAAAAAAGTGTCGCGATACCTCTGGAGCGCTGCCGGAGTGTTGCCGGCTGCACAACGACTCTGACATTCATAATCCCACAACGTTGCGAAATCATGAACACTTAATCAGTGGCTGAAGAAGTGAAGTACCTCCCATAGTAAATAAGCTGTCCATACTTAAAAATATCACGAATATTCATGGCTTGACAATGCCCTTGGCTGTAACACTATATAGTTGTAGGATACCAACCCAGTCAAACCAGAAGTCAAGAATGAAGGAGTTCCGGAATATCATACGAAAGTATTCGATATGTCAATAAGCATGTGGCCTATGCTGAATAGTTGTTGCAAGAGATGAGTATCGCGGCATAGCTATCCGTGATCTAAAGTAGAAGTGTGACCGGTAACCTTCAAGTTTGACGTGTCTAACAAAACTCAAGATGTTGTAGCGGTAAGTAAATCCCCAAAATAAATAGCTCTGTAAGTTTTCGACATTGGATGCTGACCATGTTTTAGTGGACCCATTTAGCTGAAGGCTCTCGGTCATGCATCCGCACCAGATCACGTGTGATAACGCTGTGCTCAACATCTACTGCAATCGCTAGCCTGATTAGATCAGAGAATTCCGATACATTGGTTATCGCCAAATGCACTCTTCCGGTCTCCTCAACTCTGTATTTTGATTTCTCTTGGTGGGTACGAATTATATTAGGTGTTGCTGGTAAAAGTGTTGTCAAACACTGAATACCTGTGCCATCTTCAACGTCAGGGTCGATGTTAAAATTTTATAGCGCCACATACCCCAGGATTGTTTTTACCAGAATAAATCACTACTCTTTAATAGGGTAGTAAATATTCCAAGACATGTCCAGCCAAAAATCCAAACACAATAGAGTCTGACTGTCTTTTCCTAATCTAAAACGTCGTAAGGTACAAAATATTAATGGA